GCTGCTGCTGCTGCTGCTGCTGCTGCTGCTGCTGCTGCTGTTGCTGCTGCTGCTGCTGCTGCTGCTGGAGTGCTTCCTGGCTGCGAAGCATCCGCTGCTGCTGTCTCCTGGTATTTGTCTTTTCTTCCTTTTTGCTGATCGTTTCTGCTGCTGCTGCTGCTGGTGCTGCTGCTGCTGCTTTTGCTGCTGCAGTCGTTGTTGTTGCTGCTGCTGCTTCTCTCTCTGAGGCGGTGGCTGAAGGTGCTGCAGCAGCAGCAGCAACTGCAGCAGCAGCAGCAGCAGCAGCAGCAGTTTCTCTCCCCTCCTTTCCTGCTGCTGCATCTCCTACAGCTGCAGCAGAGCCGGGTGCAGACGCAGCAGCGGTGGCAGCAGCAGCAGCAGCAGCTGCTGCAGCAGCCGTTGTTGTTGCTGCTGCTGCTGGTGCTGCAGCAGCTGCTGCAGCAGCCGTTGTTGTTGCTGCTGCTGCTGGTGCTGCAGCAGCTGACGATCTTCCTGCTGCAGTTGTTTCTCTTGCTTCTGCTGCTGTTGCTGCTGCTGCTCTCGTCACTGCTGATGGTGCTGCTGTCTCTGCCGCCCCTGTTGCTGCTGCTGCCCTTGCTGCAGGTGCTGCTGCTGCTGCTGCAGGTGCTGCTGCTGCTGCTGCAGCTGCTGCTGGTGCTGCTGCTGCTGCAGGTGCTGCTGCTGCTGCAGGTGCTGCTGCAGGTGCTGCTGCTTTTGCGGCACTTGCTGCAGGCCCTGCTGCTGCTGCAGGTGCTGCTGCTGCTGCAGGTACTGCAGCTGCTGCAGGTGCTGCTACTGCTGCTGCTGCTGGCTTTGCTGCTGGCTTCGCTGCAGATGCTGCTGGTGCTGCTGCTGCTGCAGCCGCATCCGTGGCTGCTGCAGGTGTTGCTGCTGCTGCTGCTTTTGCTGCTGCTGTCTTTGGTGCTGCTGGTGTTGGTGGTGCTGCTGCTGCTCTTGTTGCTGCTGGAGGCTGGGGTTTCGTCTCTGCTGCTGCTGCTGCTGTTGCTGCTGCGCTTGCTGCTGCGCTTGCTGCTGCTATTGCTGCTGCTTTTGCTTTTGCCTCTGCTGCTGCTGCTGCTGCTGCTGCTGCTGATTGTGCAGCAGCAGGCGAGTCCTTGGAAGCAGCAACTTGTCGTGCATGCACATTAGCAGCAGCAAGAGCAGCAGCAGCAGCAGCTGCTGCTGCTCTTGCTGCTGCAGCTCTGTCTGCTTCGCTTAGGGGGGGGGATGCTGCTGCTGCATGTGCTGCAACTGGCTGCTTTGCTGCTGCTGCAGTTGCTGCTGCCTTTCGTGCTGCTGCAGCAGCTGCTGCAGCATTAGCAGCAGCAGCAGCAGCTGCTGCTGCTGCTGCTGCACCCCTTGGGCTGTCACTGCAGCTGCAAGGAGGGGGGAATCCTACACCCTGCATGCTACCGCATCTGTGCTGCTGCTGCTGCTGCAGCTGCTGCTGCTGCTGCTGGTGCAGCTGCTGCTGCAGCGGCAGCTGCTGTCGGTGATGCTGCAGATGCTGCTGCCGCTGCTGATAACCATGGCGCTGCACCCAACCCGTTTGCTGCTGCTGCTGCTGCATATGATGCTGCTGCTGCTGCATATGATGCTGCTGCTGCTGCATGTGCTGCTGCTGCTGATGATGATGATGATGATAATGCTGCTGCTGCTGCTGCTGCTGCTGCTGCTTACGGTGGGGTGGATAGGAGGAAACTGCTGCTGCTGGCGGCTGCAGCGCAGCAGCAGAGGAGAAGCCACGGTGAGGCTGCAGCTGCTGCAGCTGCTGCAGCTGCTGCTGCTGCTGTTGCTGCAGAAGCAGCTGCTGCTGCTGCTGCAGCTGCTGTTGGTGCTGGTGGTGTGGCTGTGAGGCAGTAGGTGGAGCCGGCACCCGATGCATGTGCTGCTGCTGCTGCTGCTGCGGCTGCTGCTGTTGCTGCTGCTGCTGCTGCCTCATGACGTGCTGCTGCAACATCTGCTGCTGCATGTGCTGCTGCAGCAGCTGCTGCTGCTGGAGGAGAGGCGGCTGCATGCAGCGGAGGTGCTGCTGCCCTCCTTGTTCTTGCTGCTGCTGGTGTTGCTGCTGCTGCTGCTGCTGCTGCGTCAGCTGCTGCAGCATAAGCAGTTGCCGCTGCTGCTCCTGCTGCTGGTGTTGCTGCTGCTGCTGCTGCTGCTGCTGCATATTTATACACGCAGTTCTTCCTCAGTTGTCTATACACTGCAGCAGTTGCTGCTTCCCATGCATAAGCAGCAGCAGCAGCAGCAGCTTCTACCACTAGTTCTGCTGCTGCTGCTGCTGTTGCTGTTGCTGTTGCTGCTGCTGCTGCTGCTGCTGCTGCACGCAGCTGCAGCAGAAGATGGTTGCAGAGGGTAAGAACAGCCCAAGTGTGTATCTGCTGTTGCTGCTGCTGCTGCTGCTGCTGCTGTTGTTGATTGTTTAATCAGCAGACGCATCAGCAGCAGCAGCAGCAGCAGCACAGTGCATCACTCGTTGCTGCTGATGTTGC